TCCTCATCCAATGAATCCCACTCTGCCCTGTTCCCAGCTCCTCATCCTGGCTTGGAGCTGCCCTGACCCCCATTTCTCCTGGGAAAAGCTGCACCAGAACTTTTGGAGTGTCCTGTGCCGGGCCAGGAGTTGGACTCAGTGATCCTCAGGGGTCCCTTCCCACTCAGGATGTTCTGTGATTCCATGAACTCTTGACAAACCATCCATAATGGGGTTTTTTTTTTGGTTGTTTGTGATCTGAGGGTTTTTGCTTCCCAGGTGCAGAGACTGCAGAGGGGAAAAATCCCTTTTTTGGTGTTGTAGATCACCGTAAACCTTGTTCATTAACATCATAGAATCACAGAATCAGCCGGGTTGGAAAGGACCTCTGAGATCATCCAGTCCAACCTTTGATCCAACCCCGCTGTGGTTCCCAGCCCATGGCACTGATTCCACATCCAGTCTGTCCTTAAAAACCTCCAGGGATGGAGAATCCACCACTTCCCTGGGCAGCCCATTCCAATGGCTGAGCACCCTCTCTGCAAAGAATTTTTTCGTGATATCCAACCTAAACCTGCCCTGGCACAGCTCAAGACCGAGCCCTCTTGTCTTGCTGATGCTGCCTGGGAGAAGAGCCTGACCCCCCCCCGGCTCCCCCCTCCTGTCAGGGAGTTGTAGAGAGTGAGGAGGTCTCCCCTGAGCCTCTTCTCCAGCAGCCCACAAGATTCAGCAGCTTCTTGTGCTTAAAAAAAAGAGTTTTGTTGCTTCAATTCCGATATTTTGGATTTGGGGGGTTGCTCTCAGTGCCACCCTGCAAAGCTGGAGTGATGCCACGTGGAAGTAGCTCTGGATCCCCTCCTGGTCAGATAACAGAACAGAGCCCCTGTCACTGCAACGTCCCTACTTCGTTCTCCAAGCTGTGCAGGATCTGGGATGCACGTTGGAAGCTTCCCCTTCCAAAGGCTGTGCACAGGAGGATTTCCCAGTGGATCCACTGATGTCTGAGAGATTTTTGTGCGGATCTCAGACCCAGTCTGGTCATCTGGAGTTGGCAGTTGAGGCTCTTCCCATCTCCCAAGTCCTCACGAGCCGTTGTCCTGTCTGAAATTGCAGCTGTCCGAGGGTTGCCGTTGGTTCTGCACCCAGAAGTCTTTGGGGTGGAGAGCAGGGGGAGGACACTGGTGCCTTGGTCACTGGAGCAGGAAGGGTCCTGACTTGCCCTCCATGACCTGGGAGTAGATTTCACAGGATATTCTGAGTTGAAGGGACCCATAAGGTCGAGTCCAGCTATTAAGTGAGTGGCCCATGCAGGGATCAAAGCCACAACCTTCGTGTTGTTGGCCGTGCTCTGACCAACTGAGCTCATCTCAGGGTCTGTGCTGAGGGCATGAGTGAGGTTCCAAGTCCACCTGACTCCTAATACCACAAATTCTTATTTATTCTGCAGTCATATGTGAAGATGAATTTCTCCTTTGAGAGTGAGTCTGCTGGGACTTGGACCTGCTTGTGCCAGACGCTTCCCAAGCCAATACTAACCCTCCCAGCCTCTGGCACTAACATTCCCGTGAGCTTGTAATTGTCACGAGCTGTGCAAAAGGTAACAGTGCAAAAAGCTTCAGTAGAAACTGCTGTGACCAGGACAGTCCTGGCCTGGTCAATCCTATTGCCTGCAAACCATCCTTACACAGGATCCCAGACTGCTTTGGGTTGGAAGGGACCTTAGAGCTCATCCAGTGCCACCCCTGCCATGGGCAGGGACACCTTCCACCAGCCCAGGTTGCTCCAAGCCCCGTCCAACCTGGCCTTGGACACTTCCAGGGATCCAGGGGCAGCCACAGCTTCTCTGGGCAACCTGTGCCAGGGCCTCCCCACCCTCCCAGCCAGGAATTCCTTCCCAATATCCCATCTAACACTGCCCTCTGGGAAGCCATTTCTCCTTGTCCTGTGCCTCCAGTAGACAGTCTCTCTCCACCTTGCCTGTCAGCTCCCTTCAGGTCCTGGAAGGCCAGAATCAGGCTGCCTGGAGCCTCCTCCTCCCCAGGTGGACCCCCCCAGCTCTCCCAGCCTGTGTGGTGTTTTACTTTGCTCTTGTCTCCAGGCAGGATGGGCGGTGCTGCCAGATTTGGGGCCCATCATCCCTGGTTTGAGCCGTCAGGGTGTGGGGCTCCTGACCCCTGGAACGTTGCTCTTGCAGGCTCAGATCACCATGAAGGTGATCCAGGGGCTGTACAGCGGCGTCACCACGGTGGAGCTGGACACGCTGGCGGCCGAGACCGCGGCCACGCTGACCACCAAGCACCCCGACTACGCCATCCTGGCCGCCCGCATCGCCGTGTCCAACCTGCACAAGGAGACCAAGAAGGTCTTCAGCGGTGGGTCCAACGTCCAGCTGCTCGGGGGCAGTGACTGAGGGGACTGGGAGCTCTGGGGGATGGAAACAGAGCTTGGGACAAGTGCCCTGTTCAGGGGAACAGCCTCGTGCTGAGCAGGTACGACAGTGGTGTGTTTGTGGGGCCGGAGGGAGTTGTTTGAGAGGATGGGCATTCCTGCCCATCCCTAATCCCAGTGCCAGGTGGTGCAGGTGCAGGCCTGGGGATGTCCTTTTCACTCCCCTTTTCTTTGCAGATGTGATGGAGGATCTCTACAACTACATCAACCCTCACAATGGGAAGCACTCCCCAATGATCTCCAAAGAAACTCTGGACATAGTTCTGGCCAACAAAGATGTAAGCAGTTGTTTTTCTCCACTTATAAGTTTTCAGAATTCAATGAAATACTTCAGATAATTTATTTTAATTTTTTAAGCAAGCCATGTTTGTTCTAGGGCAAAAAGGCCATGCAGAAACCAGTGCAGGGAGTGACTGGAGGGTTTAAAAGAGGGGATGGAGGGAGTTTCCTTCCCAGAAGGATATTTCTGTAATAGAATCTATTTCCTTGAATGTCCCCAGTGCCAATTTCAGCACAAGTGATTAAAGTACCCTCTGCTGGAGCAAAGTGAGGCAGCACAGAGGTTTGGGTTCAGGTTTTGGGACAGCGTTGTTCCACCTCAGTGAGGCCCCAAGGGCTGACTGTGAATGTCACTTTTGTCTGTTGTTCCCTGGCAGCGCCTCAACTCCGCCATCATCTATGACAGAGACTTCTCCTACAACTACTTTGGCTTTAAGGTAAAGAGCACATTACTCAGACTCTGTTGGGAATGCTCGTGGATTTGTCTGGGATGGGGCAAGGGGGGCACTGGAGGAGGTGGGACATCACTGGGGTTATGAAGGACAAAGAGTGGAAACCTGGATGAAGCAGCTCCCAGTGGGATAAATTGTGGAGTTTTCCTTGCTGCTGGAAGGCCTTGTAGCTGTTGGGCTCTGTTTCACAGCACATCACACTGAATGTTGTTGAATGCCATTCCTCAGGAAATAATCTGATCCTTAATAAACCAAACCAGGGATTTTGGCTTTCCCTGTTGTTTTGTGGAGCAGTTGCTCTCAGTGTGTCATCCCACACATTTATCCTCTCCTGTGCTGCTGGAACATCTCCCCCACACCAGCCCAGTGTGCTGATCCTCCCTCGTGTTCCCCTCACACCCTGCTGTGTTGGATTGGTTTTGGGAATGATACTGGGTTTAAGACTTTCTGGAGGCTTGGCTGGAGTGTTCTACTCTTCCATAGCTCTGGGTACTGCAGAGAGGTCCTGTGGCTGGAGGGGCAGTGTGGAACTTCGTGGCCATGCTCCACACTCCGTAATCCAGAGCAGAGCCCTCCCTGTTGGAATCTTCCAGTGGGCTTGTGGGCTTTCAGTCATTAATCGCCTGATTAAGCTATTAAGGAGAGGAGGGGTGGAGTGCAGGGCTAGTGAGGCCTGGGATGAGGAGTGTGGAGTTGCTGGAGTTGGGATTTAACAGGATTTGATTTAAATATTCCAATCTGCCTGCCTGCTAAAATCCATCCTCTCTTTTTAAAGACTCTCGAACGCTCCTACTTGCTGAAAATCAACTCCAAAGGTAAGAGCTGTTCCTTGTGCTAAGCACTTCTTCATCCAGTTGAGTCAATTTAATTATGTGCTGTTATTGCAGGCCATTGGCTTGGAAATCCTTGGACACCAGAAGGGTCAGAAGTTAACTGTAATATCGTAGAGATGAAAGATAATTGGATTCTGGATTGGATATTTGATTGGACTGTAATTGTTAATCCGAGTGAAGTTTTTTCCTCCTCTGTGAGAGCAGCTGAGCATTGGAGCAGGTTGTTCTTGGGTCTTTCAGAGCCTGACTGGGTGAAGTCCTGAATAAACAGGCCTGGTTCTCTTAGCTGGCTCTTCTTTGGCCAGGAGTTAGGCTGGAGATCTCAAGTCCCTTCCAGCTGGAATTACTCTGTGATTCCATGAGCAGTCTGGCTGCCGTTGTTTGTACCTTGTTGCCATGCTCTGTGTGTGTCTGTGCTGACAGTGACTGTCACACTGACCCTTCTTCCTCCCGGCTTCCTGGATGTAGTTGGGGCGTGAGAGGCTGGACAGGACCCGGCCCATGTGTGCTGGGACCCCAAAATTCCAGTGTGCTGGGCTGATCCCACAGCGTGGGAGGGGGGATTCTGCCCCTCTGCCCCCTCAGGTGAGACCCACCTGCAGAGCTGCCTCCAGCTCTGGGGTCCCCAACATCAGAAGGATGTGGAGCTGCTGGAAAGAGTCCAGAGGAGGCACCAAGATCAGAGAATCACAGAATCAGCCGGGTAGGAAAGGACCTCTGAGATCATCCAGTCCAACCCTGGATCCAACCCCGCTGTGGTTCCCAGCCCATGGCACTGATGCCACATCCAGTCTGTCCTTAAACATCTCCAGGGATGGAGAATCCACCCCCTCCCTGGGCAGCCCATTCCAATGGCTGAGCACCCTCTCTGGAAAGAAATTTCTTCTCAATATCCAACCTAAACCTGCCCTGGCACAGCTGAAGACCGAGCCCTCTTGTCTTACTGGACACTGCCTGGGAGAAGAGACCAACCCCCCCCCGGCTCCCCCCTCCTGTCAGGGAGTTGCAGAGAGTGAGGAGGTCTCCCCTGAGCCTCCTCTTCTCCAGGCTGAACAGCCCCAGCTCCCTCAGCCTCTCCTCACAGCACTTGTGCTCCAGTCCCTTCCCCAGCCTTGTTGCTCTCCTCTGGACCTGCTCCAGCCCCTCCATGTCCTTCCTGAGCTGATGACTGGGGGGTGGAGCAGCTCTGCGGGGAGGAAAGGCTGAGGGAATTGGGTTCAGCCTGGAGGAGAGAAGGTTTTGGGGTGACCTAACTGTGACCTTCCAGTACCCAAAGGGAGCCTGCAAGAAAGATGGAAAGAGACTGTTTCCAAGGGCCTGGAGTGACAGGACATGGCTTCCCACTGCCTGAGGGCAGGGTTAGATGGGATACTGGGAGAAATTCTTCCCTGTGAAGGTGGTGATGCTGGCAGGACCTAAAGAATGCAATGAATTGCCTCAAAAGACTGTCAGAGAAGGAAATTCCCATAAGCCACCACCACAGGAATTTGTGATAAGCACAGACTGGCAACAACAGGAACCAGGCCTGGTAAGACAAACGTGGGTAACCTACTCAAATTAAAATTCCCACTGTGGAAAACTGTGAGAAAGGAAAGTGTTAATTACAGACCTAAACGAAGGTGAAGGTTTGAAATCAGCACACCAACAAAATTCCACTGTGCAAGCCGTGGGGAAGGAAAAGAACTGCTCTCACCCAGGCCATCCCAAGCTGTGGGAACATCTGAGACTCCCTGTGGATATCCAGGACTTGGACTGTACAAAAATGGTGCCCCAGGAGCATGACTTTGGGACCCTCAGCACCGAGAAGACCTTCTCTCTCTTTCTCTGTCTCTCATATTTACAGTTAAATAAAACTGCACTATTGATTTTGGGGTCTCATTTGCACTTTAATTTAAACAGAGGCGTCTTTCAATAACTGGATCCTGACAGAGGCCCTGTGTCAGAGACTGGAATGGTTAATGGCTTAAACATTGTTAACATCACCAGAAGGCTTGTCCACTGTGGCAAACTGCAAAGGAACAGCTGCTCATCTACCCAGGCCACCCCGCACTGAATATGCCTCCTAATTTGGGTTGGGAGAGGACCTTGAGATCAGATAAGGGTGCTGTTGTCCAGCTATCCCAGTGCAAAAGGCTGTGCACACCTGAAGCTACAAACTGGATTTCAAGGTGAGGGAAGAGGCTGGGAAGAGGCAAATCCTAGAAGGTGGGATGGTCCTTATCAGGCCAGTGTCCTGATGGCTCAGCTGTGAGAACCCCTCTGAGGAGCACCTTCAGTCAAAGGCTCCTGACATGTCCCTGACATCACCCATTGTAAAACTCCCCACCCCAGGGGAGGTACCAGGCGTTCCCACCTGAACCTGGGTGGATATAACTCATGAAAGCTCTGAGTTTGCTGGACTCCCCCCATGGATCAAGACCATCACTGTGACAGGACCACGACCACCACTTCAACCAGCAGGCACTGAAGCTGCAACTGCCCCATCTCCTCGCTGGATCCAACGGCTACTGACTGTGTATCTTTCTGCTTTTGTCCTTTCTTCCTCTTGCTTGTCCTTACACATTTCCTTAAGTGTTATTTTCATGCTTCCTATCAGTCTCTTGCTGGGAAGTCTCCCCATTTTGTTGAAGACTTTCGGGAAGCCATCGGGGTCTCTTTGTCCCTTTTTGTGGCACCCACGATCATCTGACAATGGGTTCTTGGGAATGCCCCCTCTGGGTGCTGAGGTGTTTCCCATAACCAATCAGGATGGTCACCATGGCCTTAAACTGGTCTCTCACCCAACAGGTACCTGCACGTTATCTCGCTTCAGAGACACCCAGAAACTGTTCATGGACAAGAACCTTCTCCCAGGCTGGGCCTCCAGGGCAGCACATTTCCTTGAGCAAAGGCTATTTTTTCTCTCCTCAGTCAACTCTCCCAATGCCCTTTGCCCCTGACATTGCACCTCCTCGCTCAAGGAAGCATTCCCGCCGGGAATGGAAATACAGGGCGTAATAACGCGTGGAGGCAAAGCACACAGGGAAAGGAGCGGAGATGTGACGCCGTGAGGAGGTGAATGTCCTTGTCCTCTGGCGACATGACACAGCGCCCAGCCAGCGGGGCACCGCCCCAGGGCAGGGCGGCTCAGTCACCCCTGGAGTCGTGCCAGGCCAAAGTCCCTTCGGCACCAGGAAGGAAATGAGGAAATGGCGTCTGGCGGGAACGGCGCGCGCGCCGTTCGGAGACACGAGGCGGAATCTCGGCAGCCGGAGCGGGAGAACTCCCACGTACACGGAATTCCCACGTTAACTTCTCTAACACCCCAATCCCCAAGCCTCGGGCTTTACTGTGAGTGTTGAATACCTTGAAGTTACGTGAAGAGAAAGTGCCGACGCGCTTTCCCAAAACTCAGGGTGAAGTTTTGGCGTCTTGGCCAAAGGTTCATGGGGGTAACGTACAACCGAGGAGAAGCGTTCCACTAAAGCACCTGGCAAACACCAACCCCACACAACTCACCACCAAGGAATGCTCTGGAAGTCTGGCTCCATGTGGCAGCAGCGGGCTCCGGAGAGGGAAGAGAGAGAGGAGCGCCGCGCTCCTGTATTTATGTGCTCGAGGTGCTGTGGCCACACCTCCAGGGCGGGACTTAGGGCCAGAGTGAGGGGTGGGGTCTCCCACCTGGGCCCTCCCACACATGGAGTTGGTTGATTCCACCCAGTAATCAAATCATCCAGTCTCTCGTGACTTCAACCTGTCAGACTCCTGGTCCAGAGCCGCACGCTCACCCAGGTGTGTTGCTTTTAAAAATACGTTCCAGGCTCTGAAAGTTCACCCTAACGTACAGCCAAGGTAGAGCATTCCACAAAGTGCTGACCCAGCACAAACCAACACACACAGCTGAGCAGAGTCCAACCCACTGGCTTTGAGTTACCCTAAATATAAAGTAAGAAAAGAGACCGAAAGAGAGAAATAAAGAGACTAAGAGAAGAAAAAGGAGTAAAGAAGAAGAAAGAAAAAAGGTTAGGATGAGGAAAAAGAGTAAAGAAGAAGAGAGGAGAATAAGAGAAAAATGGATTATCACATACCCACCACCGAAGAGTTCCATGGCAGACCATCTCCACGAGGCAGGTCCTGAGAGGAGAGGAAGGGTGGACACCGTTTGCTGCTGGACATCTGTGGCCACTCCTCCCGGGCAGGACTTTGTGCTCACTGACCCCTCAGTGCCTCTGGCCGGAGCGAGGGACGGTGCAGCCAGGCAGGGGCTGGGTGAGGAGCTCCAGGCATGGTGTGGGCAGGCCCCCAGGCTGCCCTTTGACCAACAGCTCCACTGCAGACCAACCTGCTGCCCTCCAGGGCAGCTCACGCTCAACTGACTCCATGGCCTGTGGGCCGGTGCCTGGCACAGACCCCATCTCCAGCCAGGCTTCCAGGGGGTCATTGTCACCAGGAGAGTGGCCACGGGGCCCAGGAGACCCAGCACTCTTCGCTGCACCATCTGATGACAAAGGGAGAGCCTGTTCTCCCCTGTTCTCTGGTGCTTCTTCTGTCAGCCTCTTCCTCATGCACATGACATCAAGGTGCCGTTCTCCCCGTTCTCCGTTCTCCCCTGCATTTCATTGTCTCTGTTCCCAGCAGTGGCCCCAGGCATGTCTGTGAAAACCTTCTCTTTTGTCCCAGGGAGTTGGCCTCCTTGGCAGGCAGGAGAGAGAGACATGTAAAGCTATTCCCGGGAAAGAACCTTTTCCCAGGCCGGGCTTCCAAGGCAGCACAGTTTCCTTGAGCCAACACTGGTTTTTTCCGCCCTTGAGCAACTCTTCTGAAAACCTTTCCCCTGACAGCTCCATACCTGTTTTCCTTTGCAACCAAACTGTTCTAAAATAGTCTCTACATATACATATATATTTACAAACACCATTCAGTGTTGTTTCACTCTAATCCACCCCAAGGGATCTATTAATAACAACCTGGGTTACCATACCCTTCTGGGGGAGGTCATAACGCCCTGGCCCAGGTTGCCCAGAGAAGCTGTGGCTGCCCAATCCCTGGAAGTGTCCAAGACCAGGCTGGATGGGGCTTGGAGCAACCTGGGCTGGTGGAAGGTGTCCCTACCCATGGCAGGGGCTGGAATGAGATGGTCTTTGGTGTCCCTCCCAACCCACCCAGCCTGTTGAGTGACTGTGTGTGTGTCCCCAGCCCACCCAGCCTGTTGTGTGACTGTGTGTGTCCCCAGCCTGTTGTGTGACTGTGTGTGTCCCCCACCCAGCCTGTTGTGTGACTGTGTGTGTGTCCCCAGCCCACCCAGCCTGTTGTGTGACTGTGTGTGTCCCCAGCCTGTTGTGTGACTGTGTGTGTGTCCCCCACCCACCCACCCAGCCTGTTGTGTGACTGTGTGTGTCCCCAGCCTGTTGTGT